AGCACGCCCTCCTCCCTCGGGGCTGCGCTGGGTAACTGCAAGCCGGGTCTGTGCTGCCCCCTGCCGGCCCGGGAGCCCCCGCTGCTGGAGGTGTGCTCACGTGTGTACACGTAGGTGAGCATACACGTGTTTCCGGCGCCGGAGCCCTGGAGACGCCCGAGAGTCGCCCCTCGCGGGCTTGGGAAGACCAGATGGCCCGCTTTGCAGGAAGCCCAGTCCCTAAGGGCAAGCTTGAGGCCGCTTTGGGAGCTGACCCTCGGTTTCCCCTGCTGGGAAAAGGTAGGGGTGGAGGGCCATGGAAAAGCAGGAGACCCCTGGACGAGATGGATTGACACCGGGGCTGCCACCATGAGCTCACACCTCACAGTCGGGAGGATGGCACAGGACCGGGCAGTGTTTCGTTCTGTTGTACACAGGGTCGTTCGGTGGCATCTGACAACAACAGGTGATTTTCAGGGTCTCTCGGCTTCTAGTCTAGATCCAAGGCTGGAGAGGACATGCCAGACCCATGGGCTCATTCCAAATAAGGACAGAAACGGAAGCCCAGAGGGGTATGAGGGGAATCCTTAGCCAACACACTTGGGTCAGAAATTCATGCCCTGTCTAAGTAGCCGTCATTGGAGAAAAGGCCATTAAAGAAACACATTACTAGGGAGCTGAGTCCCCGAGAATAAATATAGCCTACATTGCACATTCGACCTTGGAAGAAGTACAGCCAGAATGCTCCTGAGAGGCAAAGATGACCAGACTTCATCTCCCCTACTTTGGACAAGTCAGGAGAGACCAGTCCCTGGAGAAAGACATCGTGCTTGGTGCAATAGAGGGGCAACGAAAAAGAGGAAGGCCCTCAGTAAGATGGATTGACACAACGGCTCAAACATAATAATTGTGAGGATGGTGCTGGACCGTGCAGTGTTTTGTTCTGTTGTACACAGGGCTGCTGTGAGTCAGAGCTGGCTCGGTGACGCCTAACAACATACACCAGGTAGAGGGAATTGTTTGTATGTAAGTCATGCCCCCCAGGTGTACAAACAAGATCTGCTTCAGGAAGATGTGGGCTGTCCCGTGAATGGTGAATGTGGAGGAAGCTGAGACTGAAAAAAGGTATTATCCCTTGGGAAGAAAAACACAAAGATTTATCATGCCCTTAGTGTTGTACCAGACACTGTGCACAGTCCCTGACATGCATCATTCCAATTAACCCCTCGGACAACCCAGTCTGATAGACATGCGTCTCCCCACTGCACAGAGAAGGAAACTGAAGCTTAGAGAGCTTAAAAGATTCATTCCAGGTTCCACCACCCATGCAGGCTGCTTTGCCTACCTCCA